AGGAATGCATTGCAAATGAGGAAAAAGGGATTGTCAATGGTCAGGAATGAATGCAAGCATTCCTGATAGAATAATAAAATATTATATGTATAATTATTATTTTGTAGTGTTTTACTATAGGAATGCATTGCAAATGAGGGAAAAAGGGATTATCAATGGTCAGGAATTAATGCAAGCATGCATTGCAAATAGAATAAGGGATTATTATATGTATAATTATTATTTTGTAGCAATATTTAAATTATATTTTGTAATGTGTTTTACTATAGGAATGAGGAAATGAAAAAAAAGGGATTGTCAATGGTCAGGAATGAATGCAAGCATTCCTGATAGAATAGGCTATTATATGTATAATTATTATTTTGTAGCAGTGTTTTACTATAGGAATGCATTGCAAATGAGGAAAAAGGGATTGTCAATGGTCAGGAATGAATGCAAGCATTCCTGATAGAATAGGGTTATTATATGTATAATTATTATTTTGTAGCAGTGTTTTACTATAGGAATGCATTGCAAATGAGGAAAGAAAGGATTGTCAATGGTCAGGAATGAATGCAAGCATTCCTGATAGAATATATATATATTATATGTATAATTATTATTTTTAGCAGTGTTTTACTATAGGAATGCATTGCAAATGAGGAAGAAAGGGATTGTCATATGGTCAGGAATGAATGCAAGCATTACTGATAGAATATATATTATATATATGTATAATTATTATTTTGTAGCAGTGTTTTACTATAGGAATGCATTGCAAATGAGGAAGAAAAGGATTGTCAGTGGTCAGGAATGAATGCAAGCATTACTGATAGAATAGGGCTATTATATGTATAATTATTATTTTGTAGCAGTGTTTTACTATAGGAATGCATTGCAAATGAGGAAGAAAGGGATTGTCAGTGGTCAGGAATGAATGCATGCATTCCTGAATAGGCTATTATATGTATAATTTATTTTGTAGCATATTTTATATAGGAATGCATTGCAAATGAGGAAGAATTTGTATTTTGCAAACATTCCTGATAGAATAGGGTTTTATTATATTTTAATTATTAGTAAAGAGTGTTTTTACTATAGGAATGCATTGCAAATGAGGAAGAAAGGGATTGTCAATGGTCAGGAATGAATGCAAGCATTCCTGATAGAATATTTTTTATTATATGTATAATTATTTTTTCATAGCAGTGTTTTACTATAGGAATGCATTGCAAATGAGATTCAAAAAGGGATTGTCAATGGTCAGGAATGAATGCAAGCATTCCTGATAGAATAGGGCTATTATATGTATAATTATTATTTTGTAGCAGTGTTTTACTATAGAAATGCATTGCAAATGAGGAAGAAAGGGATTGTCAATGGTCAGGAATGAATGCAAGCATTCCTGATAGAATGGGCTATTATATGTATAATTATTATTTTATAAGTATTTTTACTATAGGAATGCATTGCAAATGAGGAAAAAGGGATCAAAATGGTCAGGAATGAATGCAAGCATTCCTGATAGAATACTGATATGTATAATTATTATTTATAGTATACTTTTACTATAGGAATATATTGAAAATGAGGAAGCAAGGGATTGTCAGTGGTTACGATTTTATGTAAGCAATTGTGGAATAATAGGGCTATTATATGGATAATTTTCAATTGCTTCTTTCTTCATGAAAATGCATTCTAATTTTGGTTTCCTCTTCATCCTTGACTTTTTCATCATCATTAAACGTGATTCTTCCGTTCGAAATTTCTTTCACAGATATTTTCTCCTTCGCCATTTTCTTCTTCAATGTCTTCTTCTTTTCTAACTTGTTAGTTCTCGCGTCTTCCGCTGTTTATTTTTCTGTCAATAGCACGTGTCTGTCAGAGAAACAGAGCTCTCCTTTTGGGAATCTCGTTACCAAAACCCATCACCATGACGGCCAACAAGGAACCTGATTCGCACAAGTTGTTTATCAGACGACAGACACTCTTCATATCTTCTTGCAAACAAGCAAACACTTCACGAACCTGGGAAATACATATATTCAATGCGGGAGTTGAAGTAGGAATAGAAAATTTCAGAGCGAGTTTAAAACTTCGTAAGAAAGGGTGAAGTGGATCATAAATAAAAACAATGCGAACCTAAAAACTTAGAGAAATTACTTAAAGAGTATTTTCTAAGGCATGACACTTTTGACTAATTCATGACATTTAATGCAGCGATAATAACACCACTTGCAGGTTTTGAATTCAGAGTTGTCCTTCCTCTAGACAGTTGCCATCAAAGGCTATAGAACCCACTGTCCTGCTATTTACCCATAACTGGAGGGAGAAGAAGAGGATTATTACCTTTCCCAAGGGATTAGTACGTAATAATTCGAATAATAGGATCCGATTCCTCAATCGAAAATGATATCCACTACTCCAAACTGTGCCTCCTTTATATATATATATATATATATATATATATATATATATATATATATATATATATATATATATATATATATATATATTGTTG